TCCCGGGCGCCCAGACCGAAGCAGGTGGTTGTCTTAAGGGACCACCCCCACCCGAGCCTTTGACTTGGAGTCTAAACCTCAGGGACTATGTTCCCGTGGTTGCCGATGACCAATACAGGTTAATAAGCCATCTGGTTTGACTGGATTCTGGAGCCCATGTATCCCATGGTAACTGCTTTTAGTCTAACCGCTATCTTAACAACCTTCCTGACATGTTAGGACTTGCAGGAACATGAATTCCCAAGCATTTTAGCTTCTTGGGTCACTGCGGTATTCAATTCCGACCACTACGACAAGGTAGCAGTTGTCGGCCGTTCATGTGATGCGTGGTTGGTTGGCGAGTATTCTACCGCTGAACCACCGATGTGAATTACTGTGTATGATTAAAATTATGAGAAGAATAATTCAACATTAGAAATCTTCACAGAAATGGTACAGTCGAAGTTGCTTTATATATTTTTTTTTAAGATTTTTTAATGAATTGAAGTAAACGAAAAAAGAACAAGCAGAAAGAAGTCTGATAAGTATGCTAAGGCAAATTTTTGTTAGACTGTAATTCACAATTCCTGGCGTCTTAAAGTAATAGGTAGGCTGTAAAATTTTCTTTAAAATGCTAGCCTGTATACTTTAGTTGCAGTGTGGTGTGTGCTACTGATGAGATTTATCAGTAGTGCATAAAGAGACATTCATTGGCATGAAAATATCAAATATTGGAGAGATAGATTCGACGTCACAGAGACCAAATGATCCAGCGTTGCGGCAAAACATGGGACACACGAAAAGACAGAAACACAAGCGAAGGACAGAAGCAGCTCAACAAGGAAGATCTGTGCAAATGATGATTTGGAGAAAAGATGTACATAATTTCTTTATATATTGATACTAAATTCTGTATAAACATTTCTTTACCAAATCTCTTGTCTTCTATGGTTACAGTTATGGTAATAGGCTGTAGATATGCTGTCCGAATGTACAGCAGCTACGTTCAGGATTCAGCTTTGTTTTTCCCCTTTACCTACCTTGATATTTACATCAGGCTGGTGAATCTTTGCTGACTGACTGACTGACTTTGTATAAACGTGCAGCAGTTCAAGTTGCTACACTTCGTAAAATACACAAAGGTAAGAAGGAAATCCAGCGAATTACGATGAACGTCATGCCAACTTCTGCCCCCTTTTCTAATTTCCAGTTAGTCACCCATTCTAGACTACACCTTACATCACGTAATACGTTTTTAGGGAAAAATTTTACTAGTATCTGAATGGTCTTCATTGTTAAATATAATTACGATTGTATAGCTTATGAAAATGAATCGTTGAAAAGAAAATTTTCTTCGTTGTTTACGTCTTTTCCTTAAAAAACGGAAATGTACTAGAGAAAGGATAGTCACATAGAGATAAATGAGAATTTAATGAATCTTGGAGACTACAAGGGTTGAATCCATCTAGGCCATCAGGAACGATGTGGAACCACATTATCAGTTGCCTCTAGCTATTGGTTGTTGGCGTCCTGAAGACCCTAACAAGCCGGTGTACACCTCCACACGTGACTGGCTCAGACTTGATATTATGTTTTGGTCTAACCGTCCTTAATTGTCTTACAGCTTAATCTGATGTCAACCAACATTGCCTGACGAGAGAAACGGCAGCTTCGCCTGCGTAGCGTGTAGCTTCACAACCTCATTGAACTACTTGACATCATCACTTAACACCCTATGCCTAACCTCAATATTACTAACGATATCGTTGCCACCTAACACGTGAGATATAACGAAAACACCTCTAGTCGTCATATCCCCACTTTTAGCTGTCATAAAACAGAACTGGTGTGCGCTATACACCTTGGTCAACAGCTGGATATTCTATATATGCCACGCATGACATGAGATGGCAGATGTCACGTAAGCCTTCAGTATCTCTGCAGAGATTTTGTCAGCGATTAGTCCATTTGGGTTGATGCAATTCTGCAAATGAGTAACATGCTCAACCACTTACCCTCAGAGTAGGACTTGATTTGACACGAGTGAGTCGTTTGCAAGACACAGATTTCTGCTTGATGTGTTTTCATAAGACTGCATTTCACCAGCCTGCGTCTTCACCTACGAGGACAATGTCATGTAAATACTGTAAACCAGCTAAACTGCTCCTTGGTGACGAATCAAACCTATGTCGATTAGGACCACATTCATTACTACATCAGTGACTAAACTAAATGAAAAAGGAGATATTTGGTGTACCCGGCAGGCACTAGACAACCCTACATAAGCTCTTACACGATAGCATGACTTCCAGTAGAGCGCCTTGAGCAGTGTAACATACTTTCTGGACATTTCATACACCGTCAAACATTACAATAGTACTTCTCGGTAGACAATGTCGAATGTAGCCTTTAGATCAGGAGGCATGGCAAGTGTTAGACGCTAGTAAGTATGCCTATGTTCCAGAATCTGTCGTTTGGTGAAGATAAGATCAGTCTATCCTTTTTTCTGACCTTAAGCCTGCCTGCTTTCCACAGATTTGTTGCTCCTGAACACATCTCAGTCTAGGCGTGGTTAATAAACCTAGAACTTTAGATACTATATCAGTCCAGCCAATTGTTTCATGACTATCACAGTAATAACTGTCTCCCATTTTATAGACTGTTATATTCAATGATTTACACTGGTCCAACGGGACTACTTCTGATCCTCAGAGATTAACTAATACCTTGGTTTATCCAGACAACAATTCATCACTACCATCTTTGAACACCTTTGGAGCCATAACATCATATCTCCCTGTTTTGTCAAGTTTTGCAATCACAGTTACATTACAAAGACTAACTTCAACATCTAAGATAAGTGTTGGTTGTTGGTCAAATTTAAGATGGCTGTAAGCCAGTTGAACTGCTTATCAAAGTGTTCCAGTCACTTATCCTAAGAGTCTATTAAAGCACCGTTCTTCAATGGGAATCGGATTTGTCCTACCCATTTTTTTCTTTCACTGAGTCTAAATAGTTATTAGTCCTCGCTTGAAGACATTTTGCAATCATTAAAGATTTTTTTTAAATTTCCTAAGTTCATCCTTCCAACATGAGAGAACCGGGCAGGCTTTAGACCAGGAAGAGGGTGTATTGATCATATCTTCACCCTTCGACAGATTCTAGAACATACCCATTCTTACCGGCGTCCAACAATCGTATTTCTTGAAATAAAGGCGGCATTCGATTCTGTCGACAGAGAGGTTCTCTGGCGATGCTTAGCTGTGAAAGGAATGCCGAGAAAATATACTGCACTGATCAAGGCACTCTACTCGTACTCATGCAGCCAGGTGAGGGCTTACGGCGAGTTGTCATCTGAAGTGGCGACGACTAGCGGTGTCCTTTAGGGGTGTCCATTATCCCCATTTCTATTCAATTTCATCATAGATGTACTAATGGATTTAACCCTAACTCACTTAAGAGAATCAGGGATTGACTTGTTACCAGGGAATAATCTCGTTGACTTAGAATATGCAGATGATACAGTCCTTCTAGATGAAGACGCCGACAAAAAGCACAGCCTTCTGAACACCTTGAGTTGCAATCTACGAATGCTAGGCATCCGATTCGCTCCCACCAAATGTAAAATGATGTTACAGGAGAGGACTACACTAACTCCTAGATTAGAAATAGGAAGTGAAGTGGTAGAGCACGTTGACCGCTTCACTGACTTGAGAAGTACCATCAGCCGCAACAGGTTGATGTCTGATGAAATCTCAGCACGAATACAGAGGGCTAGTTTCGCATATGCCAGTTTACGCCGTCTCTGGCGTAGACGTGATATCCGGCTATCGACCAAAGGGCGTATGTACTGCTCATCAGTCCGCTCCGTCCTCCTTTATGGCTGTGAGACCTGGCCATTGAGAGTGGAAGACATGAAAAGGTCGGCTAGTTGTTTTTGATCATAGGTGTCTGCGTTCTATCTCCCGTGTAAAGTGGTATAATAAGGTGAGCAATATTGAGGTTAGGTGTCGAGTGCTAGGTAAGGAGGGTAAATCAATCGACGAGGCTGTGCAGCTACATCGACTGAGATGGCGGTTAGGACATGTGCTACGTATGCCTAGTCATCGCCTTCCTCGACGAGCAATGTTAGCTGACATAAGGACAGGTTGGAAAAGAGCTAGCAGCGGTCAAATCAAAACATGGCACCAGTCAATGAAATCCACAACAGTTAGTTTAAGCCACGTAGGAAGGTGTAGACTTCCTGGTTGGGGTCCTCGGGACGGTAGAAATCAACAGATGGAGACAATCAGTGATATGGCTCAAAATCGTCCTCAATGGCTAGCGCAGATGCATCCACTCCTTGTGACTTATGATTTCCAATGAAACTGTTTTGTTCTTCGTTATTACTATTCCTTTGTCTCACACCTCTGTTTACTGTCTCTATTATGCATTTCTTCCACTTTCTTCTGTTGCTTTGTGTGCTACATGGAGGGAGTGTGGCGACCTGAACTGCTGCACATCGGTGCAAAGTTCTATGTCGAAAACAGACAGATTCCAAAAGACTAAATTTTATTACGTAAGACTTCACCACACAAGAGAGAGGGAGAAAGGGAAAGACAGCGTAAAAACAAGCTGATTCAAACTTAAAATTTAGCCAAGTAAACAAATAAAGGCGACAAATTAAATGTTCAATTGTTCAATGATACATACATACATAAATACGCGTAAATCAGTAATTATATAATAACATCACCTTTCATCTAATCATATGCTATGCAATATGGTATTTAGCAGCATTGTATAATGTGTTTGTTTCAATGCTTGATTTCTACCTCGTACTTCTGTCTTATTCTTGTGGGATTACTGTTGTATACGGGATGGGGGTGGGGAGGTGGGGAGTGCAGTGAGTAATTTCCAATCTTAATTCTGTCTGTCTAGTCAACAACAACTTAGATAGTACTATAGTGAATCCGTAAAGACAGTATACATTACAAAGTAGAATATCAATTTCAAAATTGATCAGTGTATTTATCAACTGCTCAGTTTTGATTGTTTTCATTGATACGTTTCTGGGATGGTTTGGATCGCTTATAAACTGGACAGTTCAATGCCTTTGAACCAATTTTATCCAGATAGTTTATATCATTTCTATGATTCTTAGGTGATTTCGATTGTTGTTTTAACTGGTGATTATTTAAAGTATTCGTCAATATGCCAACATTTGAAACTTGTGGTAAACAGGATAATGACGATGATGGGAAGGAGGACGAGGCCGATGACGAGGACGAGGGAGAGGAGGAGGAGGCGGACTGATTCACTAAAATATCTTGATATCTACTTATATCATTTTGAGTAGTAGTAGTAGCAGCAGTACTATCCAACAGGTGATCAGAATCATGTATTCTTTGCATAGAAAATGTTTCACAAAATTTAAATATTCCACCATTTGTTTTATACGATGGTGTTATGGAATTTTCATATTCAAACAAATGATATGGATCTAAATGGCACAAGGTTTGAAAATGATGATTATGCGATAGATGACGTTTTATCCGTGTTATGATTGTATGCGCAGATAAACAAGCCTTTTTTGTTTGACTACCAGCATTATCTAAATTTTGTCTCTCTCCATTTGTTGTATTGCATGGATCACGAAAAACAGCAGTGTGTAATTTTAGCAAGAATTTGTGTAGACTTAACACATAAGCACTTTCATTTCGTGTAGTTTTAGCCTTATTTCCACTATTGATTAAGTGAAATGGTCGAACAGGTATACAAGTCGATAGATTTGACCAAGCTGTTGGAAAATCATCCAATACAACAACATATGTCCATACTGGTGGTCGACGTGAATGTAAGCGTAGATGTGTATGATGCCTAATTGATAGTCTAGAATTAATATTACCAATTACTTCACGTAATAAACGTCGATTACGTCCATATGATTTAGGCAAATGAGCAAAGAATGCATCAGATTTATTACGAAATTGTGGATAAATATCTTCACGGCATAATACACGATTACCGAATAAACGAGATTGTGGATCTAAATACTTATTCAATATATAATTTGTTCTATCACGTGTTGAATAAGTCACTAAGCATAATTCATAATGATTACGTAAATTTCTCAACATATGATTAATTTTAGGTCGTAGAATTATTTTATCCGTTAAACTACTCTCTGTTAACAATGTCTCATCCATATCGCATACAAGTACTAATTTACGATTACGCTGACAATAGTCGACTGTTAAATGTGAACATAATGAAATAAATGTTCCATTCAATGGCATTTTCCTGTTGATAACAACTTTTCTTCTCACCTTTTTTGTTTTAATTCATTAGTTAAATTTACTTACAAATCAAATGTATAATTAATGTTTAAACAAATACAAATTGAATACTTCTACATATATGATGTATACATATATACACAAATTAAGCATATTCTTCATCTCTACGCTGTTAGGTTCTTTTTGCTAAGAATCTTTGAGAATATTCTGTCTACTTGTTTGTTCAATTTTCAATGATCAAGTAATATTACTTAACATTGTAGTTATTTCTCCTTTTTGTTCTGATATAAATAAATATTCGTTAATCAACTATACAACTGCATATTTCCTAATGTATTTATCCTAATAAGCATTTTGGTCGATAGCTAAACTAACTATATTACTTGTGAAGATATAAAATCGATAAAAGTATTATTGATTGTAACCGCTAACTGATAAATAGACTGGTTGTATTTTTAAAAGAGGATTTCAGTTGACTTCAAGTTTTGATGAACAATTGTTTGAATAATCTGATGATATTGTAAACATACATATAGACAAGACTAAGGAATATACTTCCTCCTTACATTCTCCTACTTATCATACGATGATATCAGAACATGATCATGTAAAAAGAGGGTTATTTTTGGAATAATTTGAAATAAAAGAGTCGAAGAAAAAATGTCTTTAACTGGTATCTTAGAAATGAATTATATCACTGAATATTATCTTCATTACTTATCTTATTGTGTATGAATCAGAATATAAAAACTGGAAGTTTATTGGATGGAAAGTAGACATTCATATATTTTGAAGAATAGTTACATAAATAAACGAGCTATATGATATAATTTTATGAACAGTGATCAAATTACTCATCAACTGCTGGTTGCTTTGAATCATTGAAAATTAAAAGCAACACTTAAAAAATGGGCTGATTTATTTGGCTTCAAGTTAGATCACCATCTGACAAGTGTGAAAAAATACTGAAAATCCAGGATTACTGGACATCTGTTTCGTCCTAGCCTGGGACTCTTCAGCACCACCCAACAGTTTTGCTACTGGAGATCAAATTAATGACACACAAGCGTTGTGTTTTAGGATATGGCTAACTACCATTGTAAATGCTTGTAATCACTTCCTAATTTTATGATGGAATTAAAAGTCGGAAATTAGAAATGACCGATGCTAAAATGACCTCGGAATTTGTTCTCAGAAAGTTTATAGGTGAGATAAAGCACTATCATGCCCAGTTTGTTATTACAATTAATACAGCATTGTTTAATTTAAGAAAAGTGTTCAATATCATATATACGTCTGTTGCATTCGACCACAGTAAAATGTGTTTGTCTGTTTTTATCGGTAAACATGATCAGGATGAAAATTAGTCTGCCTCTAAAACTATTGGCATGATGATTTAGTACAAGCTGACAACATTATAACACTACTGATATTTTAAATTCCCTCTTTTTGATGTTGTCATCTTCTTGCATATGTTTGTTATTCATATCGCCCTTACTGTTTGTGTTATTTTTATTCTTATACTTTCCAACAAACTCACCCTGGTTAGTTTGTCAGTGTAACTATGAAGTGTCAGAGCTTCTTTTAGATTTCTTACTTCCTATAGTTAAAGTTATTTTCAACTATGAAGACGCTTATTTCCTCTGGTTGGTCTAAACGGCAAAGTCCAACAATAGCATCCCAAGGAATGAGAACACACGAGTGACCTTGAGTCGACCAATATTAAAACTGAGGCATTTTTGTACAAATATGACGTATATTTACAGGAAAATGCATGAAAACACATCAAACAGAGTATCGTCCTCTGACATGACTTAAAAATACATTCCAGTTAATAATGAGGATTATCACTTGCTAAGTTAGACTAGTTTCTGTACATGTATTCACCGAGGTGACTGAATATGAGCTGTTTTTATGAGTGGTTTGTCTCTCTTATCCTGTTGTGCAGTCTTCTCCAAAGCTATTGGTTGAATTACTATGGTTTCCAGTAAGAGGATCGCCGACCAGTTACTAACAATGTGGATAATAAAACAAATTAAAATAAAAGACATCACCTCTAAATCTATCCCTAAAAGTAACTTTAACCTTAATTCTAATTATGACCCTGATCCTTATCCTAACCCCATTACTTATATTAACCCTAATACTAAGCCTAATGAGATATTAACACATTGTCCAAACAGTATTTGAAAACATGATCTGGGTGAAATTTACTCCTAACTTGGTGAACAGCGTTGATATTTCAGCTATGATAATGACAGGTGGCGCCGTCAGCCAACGACCAGCATGCGTGCAAGGTCATCGATGCGTTTACCCTCCTGGGTTTCTATTGTTGAACTTCGCCGTCTGAACTAGTGTCACTTATAAAGAAATTTAGAGAACATATCACTGAATTAGCTATTCATGTCATAGCTTATCTCCTGTGGAATAAATAGGAATGCCATCTACCTGCATTATGGTATAATTTTTCATTCAGACCGCTTATGCTGTTTCCATGAAATTTTCGACTAATCTTTTATTTGGCTGTATGGGATTACCGTCATACTACACTGACCGTTTATTAAAATCAGCCGTTAGTATGTTACCAGTACTTAAAACTCCTAATTTGCGCCAAATCATGCTCCATATGCGTCATCTACAAATAAAGTTGAATTTTACGATAAAGTAGTACAGAGAAGTTAAAGTGAAGGAGCAGTTGTGCTAAAAATCGGATTCAGGTCCGTAACTCAATTCTAATGTTAATCTTTCCCTACTCTAGCACTAACCTAATCCTAATCTACCCCCGACCAACCCTAATATATCCCTAATAAGGTTTAAACTAACCCTAACCTGTCCCTAGACTAATCTTCGCGTAACCTAACCTGAAAATAACTAGATATCCTGTCAAATATCCTTATACTTCATCCAACGCTTTCTTAATGATTGTTGTGTTATCTACCTGGTTTCACTAACTTATTCCGCTTGTACGTCTCAAAATCATTAGTGTGTTCGTTCCTCTGGATTGCTGTTCTCTAACTTAGCCAGCAGTTCATTTCTGGCTTGTTAATAAACACGCATTTCACCTTTCATTTACTCAACAGTTAGGGAAAGCGACTTCTCTAATTCTTCTTTTGCACTAATCTGTTGTCTACTATTTTTTTTTAAATTCTCCGATATCAACCATAGTTTGCTAACAGTTGTCTTTTCTTGGCAACAGTAGAGAATAGACATCACAGTCGAATGACAAGGAACCAAACAATCAAATCGATCAGCACTGCAAATGAATGCTTTTCATAATCTTCGTTGCAAGAATCACCCTAAGGTTAATCATAACCCTACCTTAATCCAACCGCAACCTTAACTCTGAATCAGGATGAAACTTGAAACGAAGATTATGAGAAGCATCCATTGATAATGCTGGATGATCTGAGTAGTTGGTTTAGGGTCATTCCACTGTGATGTCTATTCTTTACTGTTGCCCCTTTCCTAAAGTGTCAGTGGAAGTGTTTAGCGCAGTTATAAAATAGCTGTGATCAAATATTAGAACGCAAGACAAATACATCGTCTTTATAATCTTAAAGTACTTGGTGGAATCCTTGTATGGTAAATGCAGGGATTATGGGTAATCACAAATGAGTCAGTAGATGAAGTTGTACACCTTATCAATGAATGTATGTGTTACGTATGCCTACCCCAACGTCTTTTGTGTGCTAAACAAATTAAGATTAGTTTAAAAAACGACACAGTGGAAATATAAGAACCTCGTTTACTTGAAACACATTTGATTAAAGACATCTTTGGTTAGACAAACTAGATGATATAGATTACAACTCACATTTAATGTTTATTTTTCATTGGTTGGAGGATTTCATCATTAGCTGACATCAGTTAGAGAACCACTGGAAAACCTGGGAGTACTGGACAACTGTTTCGTCCTAGTTTGGGACTCTTCACAGTGCACACCCACCGGGGTTCGAACTCAGGACCTTCTGGTTACAAGGCTAGCGAGCTCGTAAGCCACTAGGACCCTATTCAATTTCACTGCTTAGTAAATCCTTAGCTGTATAATTTTTATCTTTCCATAGATTTTTACATATGTGATACTTATTTTGATTTCTGTCTGTTAGATAGATGCAACCAAAAGCCTGATATGATTGCGTATACACCTATCAAGTGATCACACTTCATGCTAGTATATTTGGGTGAGGTTAACATAAGGAAAGATAAAGAAAAATGAGTTAGAGAATAAACATGAATAACATGTTCACTCGCAGTCGACATACAATTGCCTATTTAAGCTGTCTACATGAATACGAGATGTATTATTAATGATAAAGCTATGACTCCCCACCCTGTGCATCCAAATTTCTCACTAGTAAAAGAGACATTCCAACCTTCTATATATCGAAGTTTTGGAAGAGACACAGTTCAGACAATAGCTAGAAGCTATTACTTATTGTACAAATTTTCACGTAACTGTTAAGTAGGAACTAATTCTCCAATAAAAACCCCACGACTGTGTCTTACATTTTGCGCAGACACTCTTTTTACCTAGAAAAGCAATACTGAACGAAGTTACCTGAAGTTGTGATGGGAATTTGTTACTACAGGGGTGACATCGGCTGGCTGTGGTGCTATATACTCCGAAATAGCAGAAGTTAGATTTTCTGGTCCATTGGATTCCATCCCAATAGTTGGGTGGACAACAGTCTGGTCTCAATAGCCTGAAAGTCTTGGGTAAGATATCTGGTGACGTAGTGTGTTCATAATGCTAAAGAGTCCCAAAAGTGGGACGAAACAGCAGTCCAATATCCTCTGGCTTTCACTGGTTCTCTAACTGATGTTAGCTCATGATATTACTTGAAACCAACCACATCCTGGCATACTAATACTCGAAAAATATGACACTTAACATCAAACAGTTTTATTTTCCTTTACAAACTTAAAACTAGATCAGAAACTCGGTTAAGCTGTAAGTCATATATATATATATATATATATATATATATACTATATAGTGACGGTGCTATCAATGAATAAGAATGTAAAAAACATAAGTCGCATCTATAAAAGTTATTTATTCAACCTCCAAAAATATCTACCGGCCAATAAGTCAGTTATTTTCCTTGGTATTCAAGTGCTGCGTCACTGATGAATTTCGCTAGATCAACATCTCTTTGAGAAAGGCCACCTGCATCATGCGTGGTGAGAAGTATGTCCACCTATTAAGAAAAAACACCAAGAAAAACTGTTACTAAATATTGACTGGTGACAACAATGATCATGAAATATCCATTATGAGAATGTAAGCTCAAACACGGTTTTAATGTGTAGCCAACAATATCATAAGTTTATATTTATTTTTTAAAATAATAATTTCATGCATGAAATTTACCCTCTTTTGTGGTTAAGAACACACGGTCACTCACTTAGGCACCTAACTTTAGACTGACGGGTACGGAATTCCAGTCGTAGTCCACATATTGAAAAATCATTACAGGACTGCCAACTAGCACGCAAACTAGGTCCAAGGCTTCCTGACGATCGCCTTCAACCATCCAGTATCAACAGTTTACAGTGCACGGTGATGGTGGCCTCACTGCAAACTTGACTGATAAAATTCAGTTTGCAACAAAGAAAGGACTAGACACAATACACTAGTTACTAACTAGTGTTCAATCAAAACCATTACACGTTTATGAGCTAGTGTATAAAAAACTACGATAAGAACTGAGTAGCATTATTTAACATACTTCGTGCCCTGTAACTATAAAATCTGTCCGTCATATTCTCTAAGTCACAATCTCTTTACTTTTCTTGTATCTGGTTATTATTCACTGAAAGAATAATTATTATCGGCATTCAGATAACAATTTCAGAATTCCGGTTGTTATTTGTTCCTCAATGCTTAATCCCACTTTTTTTAATCATGGCTCTTTATACACTGCTAAATAGCCACATTTACACTTGGTCAACCCGGTTCTTCTCCACATTGTCCACACGAATTTCTTCAACAATCAAGGGTTTTAGAAATTCTAGTCCTACTTTCCTGCTTTCATATAAACTGTGTAGAGAATGCACACAACGGGAACCACATAAAAAACCTCTCTACGAATTAAAAAGAAGTGAATACCGGCTTTAGAATTATGGGGGAGAAGTGTTGAAAATTGCTTGATTCATTTGATATGGATGTATATAAGCAGCAAATCACGCTGAAAACATTATACAGTAACTGATATCAAATTACAGTGCTATGTGAAATGAACAGATTAACATTGAGTCCCACTTTGTATTGTTCCGTCGTCATACTACATCTTCCATATATATATATATATATATATATATATATATAATTTATTATATTGTCTGTAAGAGTGTAATTCACATTAATTAATGTAAAATATTTGCTAATATACAAAAATTGCCATCTGTCTTTACTTCTAATTGATATTACGTGGCTGAAGGAGACTTATAAGTCCCACTTTTATTGTCACTCATCGACAAGATGTATTTACAACAAGAGACAGGGAAAGATAGCTGATGATGCCTTTGAGATCCCAACGTATTAGTGTCAGTATTGTAACCGGATGTAAATTGAAAACGAGAACTAACAAATCTATTACATATCCCAATCACAGATCGAAATATCATATCTTTATTCATAGTACTGACTGAACACATTTGAGAAGGATAGTAACATTTATCCGGAAGAAATCTGACATTTAATTTCATTTGTTGTAGAAATAATAATGAGAACAATTCATAACTCGCAGCCAAGTTAGTAGACACCAGTTGACTTGTGTAGCCAATGCACGAAGAATGAAAGGTTCCGAAAGTGAGGAAAAGCGAAATTCGCTAAGGTGCATATGAATTAAATATTATCATAAGGAATGCAAGTAGAAGCATGTGAATGGAGAGAAAGAAATTGGAAATATTATAGTACTATGTGACACGCATCAACTATTCAGGCTTACTTAGATGATGGGGCTGAGTAATGCTATGGAGAGTGAATCGATCATCCAAGAAGACAAGACTTTCATGGCTTTTAACGTTTGGCGGCAGCACTGTTGGACTGTCTAGCTGGCCTAATCAACACTACATTTGCCAATGTCCAGCATCATTTCCATCAAAATGTGCGTGTCGGGCCTTCAATTCCGGAAAAAGACGCGAAAGACGAAGGAGACTATTTGAAACTATCTGGAGACGTTTAAAGATAATGATACAGTAATGCACTAATATAGCATATAGTATATACAAATTTGAAATATTTCTATCAGATTAACTTAGACTATTAACCACTCCAGTTATAAGGAGGACAGGTTTTCATGTGGATCACACAGTAATGCGTCTCTACACTTATTTTAAGACCGATTTAAGCTCGCATAGAAATTCAAGAGAACTAGGCATACTAATGTGCACATACTAAATCTTATCCATTTACAGGTCCTAGGACACAGTCATATTTACTGATATCCAGTGTTTATTATATTTCTTGATCTGAAAGCTACTTTTGATTCTGTAGATCCAGAGATGATGGCGAACAGCAGCCCATCCTAAAGCCAGCGCCATTTTTGTTTTGTTAGTTACACCATAGATATGCTAGTGGAGATGACCACCTGTATTTGCACAGTCGCAGAATTATCTTCACATCAGAAAAAAACGTTGTTTGACTTAGAGTATATAAACGTGTAAGAAGATGAATAGAAATGTTATGTTAAGTGACGACAACCAGCAGTGTCCAGCATCCTTATATGATCTTATCATAAAATCAAAAATGGTTGGCCTTAGTGTCCTAGAAAGTGATGCTTTGTTACGAAAATTTGTTGGGTAAGCAAAGAAATAAATACAAACGTTTTTTGAACTAACTGAGGAAGCACTGAGCATACTTCTAATGTGCGTCGCCTGTATCATATAAAATATAGTACTAGTGGGTTGACCTGCACCGGGGACAGAGATAGAATTGGTAGAATATGTTGACTGCTCACTTAGTATCTAATTGACTACTCGCTAACGAAATTTTAGTACGATTACAAAACAGCCTTCCGGGATTCGCGCGAAGCAGAACTACCTGGTACGTGATACTCAAGTGAAGTGAATCCCCAGAGAAGGCAACTAAATTAACTGAGACTGTAACTGTCAAGTTGAGCACGCTACTGCCTACATAGACCGGCAATGGTATGCATAACATAACACTGTGACAAAATTAGAGTTGAGAATAAGAACCTCCAGGAAAGCTACTGCAAACTGCTTGAAACCGTACCATGAATGGGGGAAATTTAGTACTTATTATTTATTAGCCACAGCAAAATATAGTGTATGGATTTTAATATGAATCATGCACTATTCTTGGCTGTAACTCTTAGAATATTGAGGATTATAATTCAAAATTCTCAGACAACGCAGAAGTTGGGAACAAATGAGATATGCCAATGCAGTCTTTAGGTTTCAAGTGTCCCATGTTCCTTGATTCATTCACCAGCTACATTTATTTGTCATACTAGACCACACTGACGATGAACTTCTTCAAAGAGAAATTGGGTCCCTGCAGACGAGTCAACACATGCCATACATGGTAAATTTGATTTCATGCTTTAATTTCTCAATATTTTGAGTGTCATTCTAAGAAAATTAAAAACGGGATGCCCTGTAGTTATTTTACAATCTTAGTATGTTTTGTGTCTTGAAAGAATGATAACGATGCTATCAATTGATATTTACGGTTACAGTTTTCACTATAAGCAGACAAATCAGTCAGAAGTCGCACCAAATTGTCCTGATAAGTTAAAATGTATTCAGAATTTTACACTTTGCTTACGGAGGAATAGAGGAAATATATGTATATATACATATACATAAATATGTATACATATGTTAAACTAACCTTGTTATAGACATTAGACCATTCAGGGTGATGATTCATAGCTTTGGCCTTTCCTGCTACCTTGGTCATAAAGTCGAAAGCAGTATCAAAGTCTTTGAAAAGAAAAGAACGTCTCATAGCATCGCCGGAACGATGTTCAGTATATATTTCCCATTTGCATTCCTTTAGTAAAGGTTTGAGTAACTCTTCGCGTTCAGACTCTGTAAGACGTGGCATTTTACGCTTCTTTATGGAAATGAAACTATTATTAGAGTTAGACATACCCGAGGCGCGCTAATAATAGTAGAGTAACGAGAATGCAAGACATCAGTCAGATTAGCGCTGCGTTTCAGAATCGCTGCCATTCCACACTTGCCTGTCCAATGTTCACTGGATCGCTTACTTATGGATTATCAATTCATTTTGTGAAGTTTTTGAAATTTCCTCTTCCCGTGTTGTGGCAACGTCTCTTCTTCTTTTAGGATTAGCTGAGTGTATTTATCTGGCTGAAAATACTGAGTTCCACTGATGGAAGTATAACAGGACCCATTGTTATCGCAAGTATTGATCATTCTATGACACAAATAAACCAGATAGGTCAGAGGCTTTATAAGAGGCATCTCTGAGAGATTGGACCAACAGCTATCGTCATTCAGGTATACCGGAACTGGCAAAAGGTGACGAGTGTAATGAGTACCTGCATAACATGCAGCGCAGCTGTAGCTGGGAGAATTTGTAATACCTGCATCCTGCAGACTACCTCATCCAGCAGATATGTCTGCACTCCATTCAAAACCATTTGTGGAGAAGGATTTCGTATGCCGAGAAACTCTGTGAGAAGTGCTCCACTTATGGTACAGGTTGAAAGAGCATAAGTAACCGCACAGGATGCTGGGAAAACAACCCCATCACTCTTACTGAGAGGCGTGCCGTCATAAACCTAGCCCTGCTTGGCTGTGAAGCTTAGAAGCTGGCTTCAGCGACATATCAGTGACATCAAGAACGGAGTGAGGCTTCAAAGAAACTAACTGATCTGTAGAACAGTGTCTTAAGATGGACATAATATCATCCATGGGCACTGAACGAAACAGTTTCGCAATAAGTAGAAACGCCGAATGCCTTTGCAACAATGTCACAGGCTTCAGAAGTCAGATAACCGGGTTTCGATCCTAATAGCAACATTACGCACACCCAGTTATCACTTTTACAGAGACGTGGTTACTGTCCAGAGTCCAAAACAGTGAAGTGAACAGAGATGGGACGATAATATATAGGATGAGAGGCGGAAGTGTCGCGATGCAAGTGAGTTGCAAGCTTCGGTGAGATTGGAGATTGCCTCTCTACAAAAACTGTGCTTATAGTTCTTACAAAGCCAAAAAATCTGCGTCCAGAACAATTTCGAGAATGTGCAGACTTCTAATCAGTATTTCCTAAACAATGTGGTAAAACCTTAGGTGTCCCTGGAAGTTAGCTGTTTCAGCATAAGCCGGACAGACGTCAGTCACTGTGTGCCCTATTACTTTTTTTAAAGGAAGACACTGAAAAAGTCGCAAATCTTCTGCCAACAATATTGAAGTGATAGCAGGCTTAATAGATTAAGAAAATACAGAACGTCTAAGCAAAGGCATCTTCCCGTTAGAATCTGTCTACATCTTTAGAAAGTAGTGGTCCTGTCATACCGGGTTATTTATAGCCTGAAAAAACTGATGAGCAAGCTACGACCCAAATATTTCTAGACTTCAAAAAAGTTTCCGGATCAGCATCCTGAGAAGTACCAGAATGGAAATTTCGCACGAACGCAAATACAGTAGTGTGGCGGCAAATAATTCCCCAAAATTATTGACCAGAGCACTCATCACTGAACATCGGATGCTAAAAATCACTGTTCAAGTCAACCATTTTAACCAAAGGCTTCCGGTCAGCTATCCACGCCATTTGGTACTCCGTCGTGTCGCGTTCGTTCGTGCATGATCCCTAGCCAGCTAAGCAATCATCTCGCACTCCGATTTGGTCCCGAAATATATCTCGTAATTTGGACGATCAACTATTGTGTTTTGCTTTACCTTTGGTCTACGTGGAAAGAATATTACAGAAGTTATGTGTATTAGATCTTGTGTCGGAATATTTCGTACTATCTGTAAACGTCAATACCGTCAGCCTCTAAAGTAGGATTCATATGGAGGGTGTCAACTTAGATGCATATCAGGGGGTAACTGTTGGTTAATTGTTATTAGTGATTTTTAGGAGCGACCTCCCGAATAACCAATTAACACTCCCCTGCTCAAATGGCGAGGAGCTGCTGAGGGGAAAGTTATGTAAGATTCCTCTCTGAACGCCAGAAGCAAGTCATCGAGACACTATATACATCAACTATAACAATAACAGTTTATATTTCGTATAAACGAGTAAGTTCACAAGAAATGCATACCATTTTTGCAGGCACGATAATATGTGACATAATTTACAAATGTGAAATGTTATAAACTAGCCCATTTTCAAAAGTTTAAACCGCTGGATTTTTGTATAAGCAATCAGAACAGGTTCTTATAAATACTAAATTTAAAACTCTTTACTGAGATCACAATCAGGGTCAGGCGACAATCCGAACGTCGTTCCGTTTCTTGCTGATAGTTATGGTCAACCAGTGAACAGCGTATATTTGGGTGAGTGCTATGCCACCACGTGATTGAATGCTATTTCAGGAATAGAAGAACGTCCTGGGAAGCTGCAAAATGGTATAGAATACGATTATGGATAACACACCATTGAAAGTAAACTTACAAGATATATACAAGAAGGAGGTGGAAACTCCTTGGAACGATAGCATACACTTGTACTGTATAATGCTAATCATACTGGTGTTAGCATGAAAACTATGATGTTCTCGATCAAAATATAGCTTTGTTCAAACATTGTTGTTGTGTTTCTTCCATCAAGGCAACCAGACTCAAAGCAAGCAACAAATATGAACAAAGAGTGAGTTATAGCTTTAATAAAGGCCAGGGTAGCTGAGATAAAATAGAGTTTAATAGTTCGTAAGTAAAAAGATTACCGTGAGGTAGATAAGTGATATTTCATTGAGAATTGAATTCGAAGATCTGGAAGATAAGAACCTGTTGTATTAGCTGACCTGCGAGATGCCCCACGAATTTCTGTAGGGCCCATGGGGTGGCATCTTGACAAGAATCTGAGCAGCGATGTAGATGGTAGGAGCAAAAGCATTTTTTCAATTTATAACTTACATCTGCACAGCCCTTATTTTTTCTTCGTTTTTGTTAAGGGTTCAAACTAATGTAGTATCACCTTTATACATGCATATATGTATGTAAATATTTGTTGCAAAAGACTAGGAAATTAAGTTTCTCTTGAAAATTTATAAAGTTTTGGAGTAGTTAGTATTACAGCAACTAAGTTATAGACTATTTAGTAGAGTTAAAAGGTTAGTGGAGAAATTAGTGATAAAGTTATGTAGAATGATCCTGAAGAAAACATCTGGTTATCAGAACTAGTTATGCTAAATTTTCATGACCGATTTTCACGTAGTATGCGTCAGACATTGTAAAGTAAACCTTCAACTTATGTTATGTTTAAAATACTGCGAAATGTTATGAAATTATACTCCTTAGAAAAGTATATGAGAAAAGGTAGTTATTGACTGAGTAAAGTCATTTCAACACAAAAATATCAGTGTTTTGGTAATTATATATATGTCAAATATTAAAAGATGTCGTTTCTAATACAATTATGTTTAGATTCACTCATACTAACACGACTTATTCAAGATTATAGAGAATAGAAAATCAGCAAATTACTCAGACATTCGCTGCGTAAGTAGTAGAGTTGAGCTATACGTAAGTGAGTACACGGTCGTGCACACCTGTCAACATATTCCACTTGTTGGTCAAACCTCATTATGCAATTCGTGGGGAATCTCTGGACATTTCCGAATTCTTCGGCCTCCAGACCTTAGGTTTCTAAATAGCAGAGCACAATATTCAAGTGTAGGGTGGACACATGTCTTATAAACAGCTAATCTTGCTTCTTGGGTGTAGAAGTTACGCAGCACAAAGCCAATAAGTCGTTTACAGTCAGATACAACCATATTTGAGTGATCGGAAACGGTTAAATCTGAGCATGTTATGCCGAGATCTGTGACTGTGTACAGTTTTGTGAGGGGCTAACTGTATATAAAAAGCACATTCGCGGTTTTCAGCGTTCAAGGTGGGCTACACCGCACCTGTCTGGGTTAAAAGTCAGTTGCTGTCAATGTAGTTGAAGAATGAATAATCAATTCATGGTTGTTTACTCAAAACCAACGCTATATTTTGGCGGGAGTCACCGATACTGCAGTCATCGTTCCATCATACGCTGTTCGTTACAAGACGGAGAAATACTATCAGAAGTATTATTGTGATGAATTGTTATGACATTTATTCCTAGGCTTTGTGTATAATAACCTTATGGTTGGCCCCATATTGGTGCAAAAATAAAGGATTCTCGAGTCACCAATCTGTGTTCTGGTTTATAGCGTTGGTTATTGTACATTGTTGCCGAAGGTCTTCTAAGGACAGCGTTAATTCCAGTGTAGTTAGACCTGGACGTTTACAGTTGCCACTTTTCGCTCCAATCGCCTAGACTGTTCAAGTCATGTTGGATCTTGCTTTCGACGTTCATATCATCGACCCCATAATCATTTACTTTATTGAGATCATTTGCAAAGAGGTATGGCTTGCCATAGTTGATCACAGAGACTATATCATTTACGAATAAGCGGAATAGAAGAGGACCAACAACGCTTCCATGTATTACACCACTAGTTATCGGCTTTGATGAAGACGGCTGGTGGTTGGTTTTCACTAATTGCTCTCTTTCTGTGAAAAAGGAATTTATATATTTGAGAAGCTTTCCACTTATTCCGTAGGATTGGAGTATTGTTAGGCGTCTGGTTTGTGGAACCTTTAGGTTTTTGGGACATTTTTATGTAGCTTTTGACTAGTGTGTCTTCCCTTTTGATACTTTGATTCCTCAGACCGCTATCAAATTGTTGTTCGAATTATTCTTGTGGTATGAATTAGTGGTACAATTAATAGCAATTAATGATATTGTATGGGCTTAGATGGACAAATCTTGCTCATTTTTATGACATTTTTGTACCAACGATGCGCTGGACATCTCAATATGAATGCAACTTTTATAACTGAATTTATTATATATTAATGTCAGGTATGATCGTGCCTGTAAAAAACGGCACGTGATTTATATAAACGCTCGATATACGTCAACAGACCGTTTTTATTTGTCTTCCCCCTACCTTATTAATCGCAATCATTCTATCCCTTTCTATCCTTTATTTTTGTACTGATCGACATTCATATATCTACTTCGGTGAAC